GTGCCAGTCCTGGGGCTTCAACAGGGCTTAGGTGCTATCCCTGAGCTTTTTTTTTTTTGCTCATGGCTAGGAACTCTACCAGTTGAGCCACAGCTCCACTTCTGGCATTTTGCTGGTTAACTGTGGAGATAAAGAGTCTTACGGACTTTCCTGGCTGCCTTTAAACTCCATTCCTCAGATCTCAGTCTCCTGAGTAACCCTAGCTGGTCAGAAGGCTGAGATCTGTTGTACATTTTTGAGTAAAATCATTTCATATTTTGGTTCTATAGTTAGTTGATAGCCATTCCATAATTAGCCCAAAATTTAACCATAATTAACCAATTATATTCATATCTATTCTCTTGATTTTGGATGGCATTATGTGTCAAAAGTAAGGCTGGAGACCCAGTGGGAATGCTTCTGCTATTAAAAATTCTTCTTGGGGAGCTGGGCGCTGGTGGCTCACGCCTGTAATCCTAGCTACTCAGGAGGCTGAGATCTGAGGATCGTGGTTCAAAGCCAGCCTGGGCAGGAGAGACCGTGAGACTCCTATCTCCAATAAACCACCAGAAAACCGGAAGTGGCGCTGTAGCTCAAGTGGTAGAGCGCTCGTCTTGTGGTAGAGCGCTCGTCTTGAGCTGAAGAGCTGAGGGACAACGCCCAGGCCCTGAGGGACAGCGCCCAGGCCCAGAGTTCAAGTCCCACAACCGACAAAAAAAAAATTCTTCTTGGGTTGGGAAGGTGGCTCAGTGGTAGAGCGCTTGCCTTGCATGCATGAGGCCCTGGGTTTGATTCCTCAGCACCACGTAAGCAAAAAGAAAAAAGCTGGAAGTGGTGCTGTGGCTCAAGTGATAGAGCGCTAGCCTTGAGCTGAAGAGCTGAGGGACAACGTCCAAGCCCAGAGTTCAGGCCCCACGACCGGACCCCCCCAAAAAAAATTCTTTTTTTTTTACTTTTAAAATTGTTATTATAAAGGTGATGTACCAAGGGGTTACAGTTACATAAGTCAGGTAAAGACATTTCTTTGGACAATGTCACCCCTTCCTTGCTCTCTCCTAGTAAAACTTCATTTCTACTAAGCACTGCGGCAACACATTTAGCTTCTTTTCTGCTCAAAAGCATTCACTAAAGTCTTTAGAATAAGTTCAAATGCACCAGGAGTTTGTTGTTTAATAATTTCTATATTGAGAGGTGCAGATAGCATTTGCTTAGCATGTATGGAGACTGGAGTTCAAAGCCCAGAACTGGAAAACAAAATAAAGAATTCCTACAGTGAAACTATTTGTAAAAACAAATCACTGGGTTAAAAATCCACCTACCTACCCACATTCTTCCCAAACATTTACTTGTCTGGTTTCTAAACCTGTTTGTGTAGGTTACATTGGCTTTAGGGATTTTCTTTTCAGGTTTCTATATTCACTAGTATTTGGTACTCACGTAGATGGTAAGGCTTGCAATGGATGGTTCCACACAGACCTCCCTTGGCAATGTATACCATGTTGTGGGCATGGGACCTTCAGCATCTGTCTAACACCCTTCATCTGCATAGACACTCTGTCACAGAGCTTTCCCATCACCCCGCAGAGACAAAGGCCTGTCTGAATATGGAGGTATTTTTCTAGACTCCTATAGCCACTAATAAAAAACTGGTTTCCCTCTCAACATCAGATCACCTGATGAGCCTAGATGGCAGAAATCTGAGATACATCTAGTAGATTCTATAAAGACTAAAAGGTGTATTTTGCCAGGGCTAAGGTAAACACAGTCATCTATCTCCTTAGTGCTGTCCATGTCAGTGCTCAAACCACTAGAATCCTGTCTGCAGAGTGATGTGATTGTACTCTTTTACCTTCCAGTTTTTAGGGCATGTTTGTAAAACATGTGATTCATGTGTGAGGTAGACAGGATGAGTTTTTCATTTCCAGATGAGAAGTCAAGTGTAAACATTGGTTCAAGGTCAGTGGCTAGGAGACACAATTCCAATGCCTTTGGCCAAAGCTCCATTCATTTTAAAATAGTCCTCTGAGGAGAGCATACATGTATTCCATCTTTGCCCCAAAATATTTTGAAAAAAAAAAGGGCTGTCTTCAAAATTTGAAGCAAATCTTTGAATGTCGTCAGTGAAGACAAACTCGTAGCTCCAAAGCCACAGGTTCTCAAATCTGACTTCAGAATTGGCCTGGAGTTTGTTAAAACATGCTTTCCTGTGCTTCACTCTCCAAGTTTCTGATCTGTTAAATCCAAGGTAGGGTTTGGGATCTGCAATTTAATGAGTTCTCAGGAGGTACTGGTGCTGCTGGCCTGGTACCACATTTGAAAACTACTCTTCTAAAGAATTTATTTCTGTAAAGAGTGAATCATTGAAAACCCAAGGTCTAGTGAATTTAGGTATAGGATCATCTAGGGAATTCCACCAGTGACCCAAAACAGTAAGTGACTATGCAGAAGAAATTTGAATAGGGAGGTCTAAATAGGTTTTGAAAATGGCACGCTCTCTGTGTGTGTGTTGTGGGAGGCGGCTTTCTTGTGCACTGTTAGAGTTCTACCATTGGACCCACACTCCAGTCTAACTATTTGCTGGCTAACTGGAGGTGAAGTCTTACAGACTTTTCTGCTAGAGCTGGCTTAGATCTTCTAGACCTCAGCCTTGTAAGTATCAAGGATTACAGATGTAAGGCACTGGTGCCCAGCAAAAATGGCAACTGGATGGGACTAAATGTGAAGCTTTCCCATGGGGATGACCTCAAAGGGAAGGACCCTCTAGGCTGTGTGCTGCAGAACTCTCCTGAGTGTACGGGAACATCTTGCAATTCGATTATGAGATGATCTTTATCAACTTTTGATTTTCCAATATGAGACACAATTAGAAAGAATCTGTACCAAGGAAGGATTAATAGCTACTAATGGCAGCTGAACAGGCAGAGCACTTTTCTCTGCTGCAAACATGAAGCTGTAAGGGGAGCTGACGCTTACTCTCCTGATTTTTGCGATTGTGATTAGAAAGGAACAGGTGAAAAGGTCAAATTTTGGATGCCAGCGATAAACATGTAACATTTAATGGGGGATAGAAAAATCTCAACAGAAAAGAAGAAAGAAAAAAAGTCCCACATTAGTTCTTAGGCTGGGAGAAAGTCAAGCCTTCCTGTCACAGCAGGGAAGAAAGAGGCAGAGGAATGCGTAAATATTGGTTCTATTTTAACTTCTATTCTACATTACATTAAACTTTCCTTGTACTCCTCTTTAATTTACAGCAAATGCTGACACAAATTGGTGTGCCTTCTCTTCTTTGACATCAGTATTCCTCTTGAATTATGTATTTCTAGCTGGAATGAGGTTTATGGGGCTAAAGCTTTCATTTAGATAGATGAGAACGGAGAAGGATCAATGGGAGGTCAGGTGTAAAATCAAAGTAAGGTGGGGCTGGAATCTGTTCAGGGCAGCATTTCACTGCTCAAAGAGACTGTAAGTGACATTAAAAATGACACTGGTCTTTCCATTTTGAATATATTGATTAAATTTTAACTACCAGCGAACAAGAAAAACTTATCAACCTTTATCCCACAACTGGCAATGACAGAATACCTGACACAGACAGCTTGAGGGAGGAAGGACTGATTTGAGCTCACAGTTGCAGATGTTTGCCTTCCCTGATTCTAGGCTGTGGTGAGGCAGAATATCATGGCACATAAGCATTTGTCAGAGGCTATTCACTCATGGTGGACAGGAAAGAGAGAGCGGGAGAAAAGGGACTAGGGGCTGGGTATAACCTTCAGGGCACCCTGCAATGATCTATTCCTCCAGAGACACCCACCTCCCATCATTCCCAACATTTCTCAAAGCAGCACCACTACCTGGGGACCAAGCTGCATAAGCTTGTGGGGACATTTCATATTCAACCTAACAGTATCCTAGACATGTTTAGTAACCATTTGTAAAGGTACAGGCATCACTGGGTTTGATTTAAAAGATGAATCAAAGAACAAGAAAAATTCTTGCCAGATACAGTATGTTCTTAGTCTTCATACCTGCACATGGCTGTGGTGCTTAGCTTGGGACAGTGATTGGCAACAAATGGTTCCTGGTCCAAGTCAGTCAATGATTCATATTGACAGGCTGTTTACTGGCTCCAGAGGGGCCAGCATGGGTTTCAGGGTCTGTTTTCAGAGTCACTGACTTGCTGTGCACTCTGGGCTATCACATGAGGTGGAACATTTTGCTGAAGCTGCTTTGGGCCATTATTTGCATCCAAATGATATTATAAAAATATAGGCAGACTGTCTTGTATCACTAATATATAAAGCAGGCACCTTGACTCTGTCCTTTTTATGCGCCTCATACCACCCTCAGCCCAAGCCTGCGCCATCCATCTGTGAGCCATCCATAGTCATTTCTGAAAACTTTCCCTTCATTTTATCTTTTTTTTTTTTTTGGGTCCGGTCGTGGGGCCTGAACTCTGGGCCTGGGCGCAGTCCCTCAGCTCTTCAGCTCAAGGCTAGCGCTCTACTGCTTGAGCCACAGCACCACTTCCGGCTTTTTTCTTTTTTCTTATGTGGTGCTGAGGAATTGAAACCAGGAGCTTATGCATGCAAGGCAAGCGCTCTACCACTGAGCCACTTTCCCAGCCCTCATTTTATCTTTACCCATCATATACTCTATTCCAGGAGTGAAAATTACACAAAAGCTATTTGTTTTTCCTGATAATTAAAAAAAGAACACTTTCTGTTTTACTTAGAATTATAATTTGATGGAATTAAATTGTTCCTGAATCAATATGCCTACATTAAAGTAACTCCATCATAGTATTATTTGATTGAAGTGGCTGTGCCCAGAAACCATGTTATGACCTCAATTTTTCACTGGTACACTCCTAGTTTGGCCAGCCTCAAGAACATATGGAGGACACTCAACCAGGCGTGGATGGGCCATGGTCTTCCATAGCCTTGTCAGGACCTGAGGTGTAGGTTCTTGTGTTGTACTTGGCAGGCACCCCTGTCAGCCACAGCTCTTATTGACTGCTCTGCTGTCTGGCTAGCCACATAGAAGCATGTCCTATGGAGACTGAGAATTTCCCCCAAATCCTCATTCTGCCTAAAATGTCTCTGATAGATTCATTTATTCTATAATTAATGGAAGAGATTGGAATCTTCAGGCTAAAAATGGAATAAAAAGGGCCCATTCTTAAGGCAACATTAATGAAGTCTTTGTATATAAATAACCTTACATATCAGTGAATAAATGGCACTTAAATTTAAAATGTCCTTTAGTGATTCACTGGGTTCTAAAGCCTGGCTTTGCCTTGTGTGGTCAGCAGTCATTTTTATCTGTGACTCCACTATTCTTGACAGAAAAGTTAATCCAGTATGATTTAGTATCTTACAAAAGTTTTGCTAAAACATTTTCTGCCAAATGCTCATCTCCTAACAGCTGCTTTTTTATTTCAGTGAGAGATACTTGAAATAAAATCATTGTTCTCTGTGAAGATTGCATGCTAACTAATATAGACCTCCCAGATTATTAAACAGCAAAAGCATTTGATAACAGAACCAACCACAGGTTCCACTTCTGCTGATGTACCAAATTCTGAGTACTTAGTCATTGCACAATATTGTATTTATAGCCTTTCTTTTGCTTGAGCTGTTAGGCCACAGGCTCAGCAGGCAGTTGCTGTTATAAAAGGGCTCTCTGGGTTATTTATAATGTTTCTACTTACATTTTCTGCTTCACTTTGGGTCTTGAGCCAGGTATATGCTGTGAAAATGTAGGAAGGAACTGGGCAATTGTTCTACCATCCTGAAAGCTACTGTGGATGATTCATAGGACACTGTGTGTGCCTTGGCTGGAATACCTGGTATTTCTGCCTAAACAACCCAAATGATCACAGTCTGGCTGATTTGTCACCTCATCAGAGAAAGAAGCATACATGAAGGCTGTGTTTCAGTGAGGGATAGGTTAGGGCCTGAAGCACATGTGGTAGGGGAAAATATCAGAAGTAGTCTAATATTGGAAGAATTTCCTACAAATGTTATTTACTTAAAGTAAATGATAGATTCCTGCTCCAAATGCTTGTCTGTTGCCCTGATAAGGGATTCCTGAAAATGGGGTGGGTAGGGAGCTACACATGGCCACGGAAGGTGTTGTCCTGTGCCTGTGCCTGCTGAGATAATATTGATGTATGAGATGATACGATGCTCCCAGGGCAAACAGCTTTCAGCCCTTAAGTGGGTAAGAAGAGGAACCAAAACATGTTGAAAATATCCGAGACCAAAAGAATTACCATGTTTATTGCACATATTACTATTTTACTTGTTTTTGTCCTTTCTTTCTCTCTCAGCTCACTATATGGTTCAGACTGGTCTGGAATTTAGATTTCCCTATGTAGCCTAGGCTGACCTCAAACTTATGATCTTCCTGTCTGTCTTCCAAGTGCTGGGATTATAGATGTGAATTCTGGGATTATAGATGTGAAGTCTCTTAACTATTTAACTGCTCTGAATTCTTAAGAGCTTTGATACTCCATTTTCAACCTAATTAGTGCCACCTCCCTAGGCTAAGTTGCTATCATCTCCCAGTTAGATCCATATATCAATCCCTGGCCTTTTCCCCTGCCTCCAGTCTTATAATCTCCAAAGCCACATGTATCTTTTCATAAGGAATAAATCTGATCAGATGTATCTTCTTGCTGAAAATTTTCAGTGGCTTCCTGTAGCCCCCAGAAGAAAGTGCAGATTTTCATATGGGGTACGTTAAGGCCTTTACCACCCTGTCTGTACCTTCCTTATCTACTCTTCTTTCTAAACTCTTGCTAAATAGAAGTAAATAGAACGACTTGAAGAGGCACAGCCATGCCATGCCATGCCATCTCTAGCTTCTAATCTTTAGCTCATTTCATGAGCCGTTGCCTTTACCTGGGTACCCATTACCAATGTATCCTTTAATCTCCCCTTCCTTACCTTCTTGGACAGCTTGCTAGGCCTCCTTAGGCTCTTGTATTCCTACAGCAACTCAAGGTCAACACATACAAGTTGATCTAAACAGATGCCAACATACTAAACTAAAAGTAAAGATGACACTAAATGGAAGAAAAGGGGTTTCCTACCAGGAAAGGACATTCATGGGCAAGTCATCTATCAGAGAATTTTAGTCTTTCTTTCCATTTTGGTTTGCTTTGACCAAAGGGGGTGGGGGGAAAGGATATAAAACTAAAGAGCTCTGGGAGCTCTTTTAATCTCATAATCATATCATCTTCCTTCCTTCCTTCTTTTCCTTTCTCTCTCCTTTCTTTCTTTCTTTCTCTTTCATCTCTTTCTATCTTTCTTCCTCCTCCTCCTCCTCTTATTCCCCCTCCTCCTCTTCCTCTTCTTTTGGTGGTGGTACTAGAGTTTGAATTTAGGGCCTTGTACTTGCTAGGCAAGTGCTCTACCCCAATTCAGCCATGTATCCAGCACCTCTTTTTTTCTTTCTTTCTCTTTTTCTTTTCTTTTTTTCCTTCCTTCCTTCCTCTCTCTCTTTTTCTTTCTTTCCTTCCTTTCTTTCTTTCTTTCGTTGCCCTTCTTCTTTGAATAGGGTTGCTTTTTGTCCAAGCTGGCCTGGATTATGATCCTGTTTTTAATTTGTCCTATCTATGAGTAACAGATGTGTGCCACCATGCCCATCTGTTTAGCCGAGAAGGGAGATATCACAACTATTTAAAATAAAAAAGTTTGGACTGGCCTTGAACTATGATCTTCCTGATCTCAGCCTCTTGTGTAGTTTGAACTCAGGACCTGGGTGCTGTCCCTGAGCTTTCTCAAGGCTAGTGTTCTACCACCTTGATCCATAGTGCCATTCTGGTTTACTGGGGGTTAATTGGAGATAAAAGTCTCATGGACTTTCCTGCCCAGGCTACTTTGAATGATCCTCAAATCTCAGCTTCCTGAGTAGCTAGGATTACAGATGTGAGCCACTGGTGCCTGACCAGGCTGAGTATATTTTTAAGAGACTGAAGCAGGAAGAGAAAAGCAATAGAGACTTGCTTTAAAGGGTTACTACCTTAATCTATCTCAATGTAGTATGCATACACATGCACTCATGCACACACATACACACACATGTGCATGTTCGCACACACAAAGAGCATTCGTGCCATTAACAGTGTAGTCCCACAGAGGACATGCCACCAACATAGAAAATACACAGTATACATAATTTCATATAAAAGGTGGGTAGATGTTCAGTAAACTGTGAGCCACCTGTTTTTCTGTTTCTTTGCTCAATTCCATTGGCAATATTGGGGAACAAAGGTTGAGGGGCATGGCTACAAGTTTCTGGGCTCTATAATCTGAAACCATATTTTACTTCCTCATAGTTTCAGGTGTTCCCTAACCACTACTATACCATAGAAAGCACTTAGAAGATTGCCAGTGCAGTCCTGGCAACACCACCACAGCAGTCCAGGAAATCGGCAAGAAGACTATGGTGCGCTGCCATGTTGTACTGGTAACTAGGTTGCTTAAGGAGGAGTGAGGGGAGTAGGATGCTAGGAGGAAAAGTCTTAAGGTAGATGAGTAAGCATGTGCTATAGCCCCTGTCAGCCCTTCCTGCTGGAAAGAGGGACTCTTTCCTGTCTAGTCCCACAAAATATTCAATCTAGATTCCTATCTTTCTCACTTTTGCTAAGGCTGAAATGACTGTTTCTTCTCTACCTTCATGTTCTTGTTCTCTATGATCATAATCTTTCTTTAGTCTTGGGTCATTCTTGAGTCCTGAAATTAATGCTGGGGCCCACATCCCCTCAGTGAACAGTGGCAGTGTGAGCCACTGCACATCCAGTCTAATATGGGACAGTACTTTGTGAGAATTGGAAAACAACCTTACATTTAGCCTTGTTTCAATTCTTCAAAGTGAAGATGACATTTCTGGTAAGGAGTTACAATTAGATTTTTAGAGCCCTGTGTTTGCAACTGATTACATGCAGGATTAAAAGAGATAATTTCATATATTGAAGTCTGCCTGATTAGCTAATAAATGAGATGATCTGCTGATGTGGAAGTAATATAATAGAGCTAATATGGTCCCTTGGGCATGACACATGTCTTGTGCCTGGTTTCCTTAGAAATTACCCTATCCTCTGTCCTCTCTGTGTAGTAAAGAGCTTTTTTTTGTCTTCTTCATATTTTCTGACAGTCAGTGGCAGCAGAGTTTTGGCAGAAGAATTGGATCATTATCATTCCTAAGGTTAGGAGGGCTATTTCAAAACGTCATTTCTGTTCTCTTCATTCTCTTAGTTTCAGAGATGTTATTCGTTCTCTGTAACTTAATATTTTTGGTTAGACCTTTTATGACTGCAGGCAAACAATCTGAGTATGTTTTAAAATGGAAAACTGGATAATTTTTTAATTTTAAATTATCTCTTTTAATTTCTTTTATTTTTTTTTGTTTATGTGGCACTAAAGAATCGAACCCAGAGCTGCATGCATGCTAGGCAGGCACTCTACCACTAAGTCACATTCCCAGCCCCTAATTTTTCCTATAAATCACTGTAGATGTTTAGTGGTGCCTCAGCTTTATTTCTTTAGGCATCTTAAGTGGAGAATGAAAGGAATGTAAGTCATCCTGTAAGTCTAATCCCCAGAGGAAACCGAGGCATAAGAAGGTGGAATGGAATGACTTTTGCACTCACATTACTCTCCAAAGGAGCTAGAACTCTTTAGTTATTTACTGACTTCTGATATTATATGCCAAGAATTGCGTTTGTCCAAAAAGGACTCTCTGAGCTGGGTCTTGAGGATGACTTAGCAGTTTTCTAGGTAGGGAAGTAGAAGTGTTTTTCTTCCTTTCAATTTGAAAGCTAATAATGTTAAAAAAGAATAACTATTGTACAATGAAACCTATTGATTTTTTTTTTTTTTGGGTTGGTCGTGGGGCCTGAACTCTGGGCCTGGGCGCTGTCCCTCAGCTCTTTAGCTCAAGGCTAGCACTCTACCACTTGAGCCACAGTGCCACTTCCAGCTTTTTGTTTTTCCTGTGTATGTAGTGCTGAGGAATTGAACTCAGGGCCTCAGGCATGTGAGGCAAGTGCTCTACTGCTAAGCCACCTTCCCAGCCCCTAAAAATGTTTTCAGAAGCAGGGAGTGGGACAGGGGAGAGCACAACAGGATATGGCATGTATGCATGTATAGAAATGTTACTATGAAACCATCGTTGTATAAATAATGTTATGCTAATAAAAATAAAAAGAGAAATCATGTCACTTGCTTTTAGAGTTTAGCAGTTGAGGTTTCTAAAATAGGTTCAATGGAACAAATTTGACTACTGGGTACTTTTGATGATTTCACAACTTGGGTAGTGTGAACAGAGTTACAATAAGCATAATAAGCATGGGTATGCAGCTACCTCTCTTGTATAGTGATTTACACTTTTGTTTTGTTTTTTGCTGGTGCTCAGGGCCTGAGCTTCTTTTGCTCAAGGCTAGCACTCTACCACCTGAGCCATAGAGCCACTTCCGGCTTTTTCTGTTTATATGGTACTGAGCAATCGAACCCAGGACTAGAGTGCTAGGCAAGCACTCTACCACTGAGCCACATTCCCAGCCCCTGATTTACACTTCTTTAGATATATACCCATACTGAGTTCCAGAGTGGTTGTACTAGTTTATGTTCCCACTAACAGTGTATGAGAGTATGAGTTCTCTGATGTGTTATTTTTCCACTAATCCTTGTAAAGACCAGGATACCACCCTAAAACTGAATATAACCTTAATTGCTCACCTC